TTGTTTCCTTATGGGTGTTGTGGCAAAGGAAGAGATTGTCAAGCAGAATCTAAAATGTAGGGATTTGCTGGATGAAGCAAGAAACTACCACCTCCACCTGAGCAGCAGGGCAGTGCCAGACTTTGAGTACTCCATTCGCACAACACCAAGGAAGCAGACTGCTGGTAATTAAATGTGTGTCTGATTACCCAGTAGGGAGTGGTGTGGAGAAGAGGTGGCACGGCTGTGCAGGGTTAGATGGCCTGGTATAAACGGCTGTTAATGACTTAAATGCAAAATTGGGAAAGCCCTTGCCTACCTCTCTGGTAATGAGGTAACTTGCTGTGTGTTCCTAGCAGAACTTTAGCGGTCATTTTCTTTCTTTAAAGCATTATTTATTTATCCTAATTGGCTCTATCTGATTAAAGCTAGAACTGTTAAGCACATTATGACCCAGGTAGTATGCTCAAGGCTATACTGAAAACAACAGACACTTCTCTTCTGGTGTGAGAAGGTTGAGCTAAATTTAAAACTCTTTAGCTAACCTAGACCAAAAGTATCTGGATGAATATTAGACTGCAAATCCTAATCTTTACATTGATAACAAACAATCTGTTTATCTCCCAAAGCAAAATCATAAAAAGCACATTTAAAATATGCATTGTTTTGGGAAGAGCACAGGTAGTTAACTGCCACGGCAGCATGCCAAAAGAAGGCCCCAAACCAGCACCTAGTTATGCAAAGCAGTGACTGTGCCCCTTGAAATGAAGTGCAGCTTCTCCCAAACCAGGTGATTCTCAGTTCTCTCCGCTGCACAGCTCTGTGCCCCTCCCCCTGCTGGCCTGCTGCAGCCTGCTCTGTCCTGCAGGGGTGCTGTTCTGCGTTGGTGGCAGGGGGGGCTCGGGGGACCCCTTCCGCAGCATCGAGTGCTACTGCGTGCGCAGCGACGGCTGGTTCTTCGGGCCCGAGATGAACAGCAGGAGGAGGCACGTGGGGGTCATCTCCGTGGGAGGTCAGTAACACTGCTCAGGCCACCCCATGCAAAGGCACTTGTTTGCTCCTTGTGCTGGGATTGGTGCTTCTACTACATGAGTTTGTCTTGCAATAGCTTAGCTGTTGGATATTCTTCAGTTTGGTAAATCTTCTTCCCCATGAAGGGGTTTTTGATTCTGAAACAATCTGTGAGCATGCCTACTGAAAAGATGTTACTGTAAGCTGAGGGAGTTGGGGTTGTTCAGGCTGGGGAAGGCTCCAGGGAGACTTTTTGCAGCCCTCCAGTACTCAAAGGGGGCTTATAAGAAAGATGGCGACAAACTTTCTAGTAGAGCCTATTGCAATAGAATCGTAGAATGCTTTGGGTTGAAAGGGACCTTTAAAGGACATCTAGTCCACCACCCACCTGCAGTGAGCAGGGACATCCCCAACTAGAGCAGGTTGTTCAGAGCCCCATCAAGCCTGACCCTGAGGGTCTCCAGGGACAGGGCCTCCACCACCCCTCTGGGCAGCCTGTTCCACTGTTTCACCACCCTCATAGTAAAGAACTCCTAACATCTCATCCAGATCTATCCTGCTCTAGTTTAAAACCATTGCCTCTTGTCCTGTGGCTACATGCCACGTAACCAGTCCTTGCCCAGCCTTCCTGTAGGCCCCTTCATGTGCTGGCAGGCTGCCACAGGGTCTCCCCAGAGCCTCCTCCTCTGCATGCCCAACAAGGCGTGATGGGTTTTAACTAAGAGAAAACTAAAAGAAAAAAGTGGGGCTGGACTAGATGACCTTTAAAGGCTCCTTCCAACTCAGACTATTCTATGAGTGTACGAACTGTATGGAGCCTTTTACCTTAATAGATTATTTCATTTTTTTTAACCATTTTAATCCACTTATAAAGAAATTGCCTCACACAGCGGAGTCACCCAGAATTTTCTAGTACTCATAACAATCTCCCTTCATATTGAAATGTGCACAGGCATCTCACTAAGACCATAACCCCTCCAACAGCAGACCTACCTTTATTTTTTGGTTCTCCATCTTCTCAATCCGTGTCCATGCAATCCAGAGCAGTTTAGCACCCACGATGCAACTTTTCCTTGTACATGGTAGCCCCTGTGTTGCTGCAGCAGAACAGAGGTTTATTTTTCCCCATAGAAAATCTGAAGAGACCAATATAAATGTCCAAAACTGATCTGACCTGCAGTACTCAAGACATGGAAAGATTTTTTTGTTTACATATCTCAAGCTTTGTATAAAAGTCAACTTTAGAATGCTTTAGTCCACCCTGGTTGAGCACAGCATATAAAAATAGGAAGTCCTTACCTACTGAAAGCCCAGTACTGACCACATCTGAAAACTTTAACCTTTTTGAACTTTTGTCTTCCTGTAGGCAAGGATATTACATAAATCAAAACTGAAACATTGCCAAACAATCTCTGCATTGAAAGATGTCTGTGTTTTAGGTAAAGTCTACGCAGTAGGTGGGCATGATGGAAATGAACACTTAGGAAGCATGGAGGTATTTGATCCCCTCACAAACAAGTGGATGATGAAGGCATCAATGAACACAAAGAGGTACATGTCCTGTGATCCCAAATTAAAGTCCTAGTCTCTGACATATCATTTCTTGCTGATGTTGAAAAACTTTGTATCTCCCTTGCCTTTATTTGGGTTTCTAAACTGCTATTTTTTTTTTCTTTTTTTCTAATTTTGGGGCTTAATGCTATCAAACACCTTCATTTACTAGCTGTAAAGCAAACACAAATCTGCACTACATACCTGCATATGTCACATATTTGCTCAAACACAAAAGTTATGCATAAATATAAATATTTCCATGCAAAACAGCATAATCCCTCTCTCTAGAGAGAGACACTGGCTGATAGCATGGGTTATGCTTCCACTTTGGCTTTCTTTTGTCACTCTGTTATCCTTTTTTTTCCATTTTGGAGGGCCTGGCTTCTGGAGCAGAGAGCTCTTCTGCTCCTGCTGTGCTTACATTCTGGTGCCTAGGCCTTTCTGCTAGGCCTGATAATGAACTTGAAGCTGATTAACTGGTTCTGTGGGGTGTTTTTGTCTTTTTAAGAATGAGCAAGATAACTGCCAGCATAACATGCACAGTGAAATACTTCATGCTCAGGAAGCCGACAGCCGCCTATGCTTCCGCCACAAAAGGCCAGAAGCACTGAAACACCAAAAGTCAGACTGAGGATTTTTCTTGGCTTTTGACATTTTCATTTAAGGAGGAGCTACTGGACTCACAGATCTGCAATTCTTTTTTTTTTTTTTTTCTGATGTCTTTTAAATCAGCCTCCTTAAATCTACATTCTGTTTGTTGTTTCTGAAAGCACCATGTACAAGTAGCGGTAAACACTGAGCACAGGTAATTCCTATAGCTAGTTGTGGCTGTGACCTAATCCAAGGAGAAGACCCAGATGCCTAGAAGTGGCTCCTTGCTCCTCTTCCTCGCCACCACTCCAAGGCCATATTCCTGGTAAACATCAGCCCTAGATTTCTGAGACATTTCTTACTCAGTTCCTTGGAAAATGAAAGGGCTGCTGTGCCTTGGCTGTGCTGCACTCCCATTCACAGAGGTGGTGCTGGAGTACCTACGTGAGAAAAAAATACCACCAGTGATTTAAGCTGTTTGCTGAGGCAATTTAAGATAAGCCCAGGATCTTGCCCCAGTGTTTCTTCTGCAGAAAGACTGTGCCTCCTGTCAGGGTATCTGCAAACCTGCCCCGTGTGTAATGGGACGGGAGTGTTCTCAGTGACATGGTAAATCACCTGAGGGGGAGCTGAAGCAGAACCTTGGTGCTCATGTTCTGGGCCGTGCTCCTCGTTTGGCAGTCTGGTTACACTCACGTGTTTCCAACCGTTCTGACACAGACTTAACAGAAAATAACAAAATGGAAGAAATTGCAATTGAACCTTGCTAGAGTTCAGTCATATGGTATCAGGAAAAGGTCTGCCTTTTAATATGTATTAATATCACCCCAAATAGTTCCCAAATTGTGGCAGCAGCTATACCAACAAAGTGAAAAGCAGCAGGTCTTTCGGTACCAAGACAGAGAAATCAGATAACTTAAGACATTCTCATCTATCCAAGCACGTATGTACAGGACTTGAGCCTTCGGTGACATTTAATCCAGTGTTCCATGCCTCTTCTGCCTTTTTAAAACCTGTTTTGTAAACAGGAGCTTTTTCTTTTTGCAGTCTAAAAATATTTGAGCTGCAACAGTCCTGGATCACACAGTAACATACAGGTTCCTGGGAGACCTGAGGTGGAGTTAAGACTTTACTGTAGAGCCTCTCTAATGAGAGGCTGCAAATGTACAAAAGACTTGCAGGGTAAAGCTGCAGGACTGACAGAGGTGTGCAGAGAGCCAGCCAAAGCTACTGCTCGTTATTTATGATCACCTTCACTTTTTAAGTTCTCATTATTTTTTCCCCTAGTTTGAGACAGGTGCCAGTCAGGTAATATTGCTCTGGCTGTGTCTTCCCCATTGCCCTCCCTGGAGGCTTTGCACTGAGGTGTCGATCCTGTGGTTTCCTTAGGAGGGGGATTGCTCTTGCCTCCCTGGGCGGCCCCATCTACGCCGTGGGGGGCCTGGATGACAACACCTGCTTCAGCGACGTGGAGAGGTACGACCTGGACTCCGACCAGTGGAGTGCAGTCGCCCCCATGAACACGCCCAGGGGAGGCGTCGGCTCCATAGCCCTGCTGGTGAGTGACTGTCCTCCCAAGGTGGGGGCAGCTGGGGAGCTGATCTGCTTTTGCAAGGCAGAATGCCAGATCTTAAACAAACTGCAGCTGGTGGGTCTGAGCCCCTCTAGTCGTCAGCATCCTATGCAACCATGCACAAGGTGAGGCTATTTAGGAGAATCCTTGTATCAAATTGAACTGCACTCCCCATTTCAACAGTAGCTGAGGTACTGGGAGAAAGTACCAGGACCCTTCTGACACCATCAGGGTAATGCTTCATGTCTGAGTCAGAAGGCTTTGGTCTGTCACGGGCGCCGTGTGTGAACAGCGAGCGCATCTGCCCCTCATTGCCCCTGTCACTGGGTGTGCTTTGCCAAACATCTGCAACACTACCTAACTTGTTCACATCTTCACCTGGAACATACAATTTACAAGTTGCTAGAGAATTAAGTATGTTGTTGGAGTTCTTAAATAAAAGTAAGTACTTAGGACTATATGGACATACCACGTTTTCCTGTAATTCCCCCCAGCTTTTCCTAAGCTGTGTCAAGTCGAGGTACATCACGAATGATCTGTGGCTGTACCACTGTTTTGCAGAACCACGTCTATGCTGTGGGTGGCAATGATGGTGTAGCATCTCTGTCCAGCGTGGAGAAATACGACCCCCATCTGGACAAGTGGATAGAAGTGAAAGAGATGGGCCAGCGAAGAGCTGGCAACGGTGTCAGCGAGCTCCACGGCTGCTTGTATGTTGTTGGTGAGTAGGGAGGTGACGTTTCTTGGTGCTGTGTCTGCAGAGTGCTGCCCTTTGGAAGAGGCTGTTGTTGCTAGAAGAACTAGGAAACAAATAAACCTGATCTGTACTTTGGGCAGGGGAAGAAAGCAAGCACAACCAGGGCATGCTTAAATGAAGGTACATTGATGAGGAATAAGCAGTTTCTAACCCACATTTCAGGTGGGCTACACTGTTCAGGGCAATATCTCTATATAGAAAATCCTCTTCAGACACACTGATCTTGAGTTTCCTTTTAAGAAGATAATTTTTAAGTTCATACACTTCTAAAGCACTCTAGTTCTGAGTGTAGACAACAGTAGCCATGACACTTATTTCACAGCCTGTTGTCCTAGGCCTGCTTGTTCTGCTCTACCTTGCTGTTATTGGCCTTCCTGGAGGATGCCAGGTGGGCATGCTGCAGTGAGAGCTGCAGTTGCCTTGTGTATGATCATGATTAAAAAAAGTTTTGAGTAAAATGTCTCTCTGACAGCTCCCCCAGCAAGGGGAACACATCTCTCAAGGCTTGCGTGAGGATTTTTTTCCTACTCCACTATTCAGCAATGCTGTAATTTGAAAACACTGCAACCGTGTGTTTTGCTTAAGCCAAAATAGGATCAGGACCATCCTTGCACGGGTCTAGGGTTTTTCTACTCCGAATTAGGAGGCGTTTCACTGTAACTACGTGTAAGATGAATTCGAGCAGAACAATAACAAAACCG